TTTTGCGAGTTGGGGGCCCCCCTGGGGGGCCCCCCTGGGGGCCCCTCGGGGGGGCCCCTGGGGGGCCCCCCATGCTCCTTTTCGGAGCTGCTGCAGGCCACAAGGGTTGCCATGGGGGCCCTCTTGGCCAGGAGCAGCAGCAGGGGGGCCCCCAGCCCTCCTATTCCGCAGAGTGTAGAGACACTGCTGCAGGCGGGGGCCCTGGGCACTGCCTTGGCAGCTTTTGCTGCTTCCTGCGGCCAGTAGGGGCCCCCGGGGGGCCCCCCACGCGGGGGGCCCCCCGGAAGCCCCGGAAGGGGCTGGGAGCGCGCAGTTGCATGCATGCAGAGTTCTGCATTTGAGCTTCTTTTGTTTTGATACAGTTTTGTGAAAAAGCGGCAGCAGCGCCAGTCCGGCGTTTGGGGCGCATGCGCGCCGGGTGTACGTACACCTCAGCAGCAGCAACGCGCTGCGTCTGCTGCTTCGGAGTTTCGCCGATGAATTCGAAACAAGTAAAAGTGTTGACAAGTGTTGACAAACAAAAGTGTTAACAAGTAAAAGTGTTAACAAATAAAAGTGTTAGACAACTTCACACAGTCGCGGCCTGCAGCCCGCAGCGGGGCGAAGGCTGGGGTGTACGTACAGCTGAGCTCACTGCAGCGAGCAGTGCGAGGTCTGGGGTGTACGTCCACCTCAACTGCAGTGCAGCGGGGGGCTGCAGCAGCGGCTGGGGCCGATGGAATTTTGCAATTTGAAAGTTGGTTTTAATTCTGTTAGACTTCTGCATGCAGCTGGAGGCCCCGCAGCTCCTTTTCTTTTCCTTTTCTTCGCCAGGCTCCCCAACAGGGACTCAGCCTGCCCCCGTAGAGCCCTGCATGCATTCCGAGGGGCCCCCCTTGGGGCCCCCATGTGCTGCCCTTGGCGCCCTTATATAAGGCCCCCCTTGGGGCCCATTAAAGACCCCATTAAGGCCCACGAAAGACTCCCTTGGGGCCCTTTAAAGACCCCACTAGGGCCCATAAAAGACCCCGTTGGGGCCCATTAAAGGTCCGTCAAAGACCCGCATTAGGGCCCATCAAAAGCCCCCCTTGGGGCCCATTAAAGGGCGCATTAAAGCCCCCCGTTGGGGCCCATTAAAGACCCCGTTGGGGCCTTTCGGGGGGCCCCCAGAGGGGCCCCCTGGGTCCGTAGAGGGGCCCTGGGTTCAGCGGGTGAAGGGGGAGAAGGGCCTGAAGATTTTGAGGAGGAGGTTCTCCTTGGGGCGTTTGGGGAGGAAGAAGATGGAGTCCATTTTGCTGCTGTACTTGATGTAGAAGAAGAAAAGAGTCAGAGTCAAGAAAGTGATGTTCCAGCAAATGCAAAACATCAAGAGGTATCTGTAGAGGTCGCTGGAGTCGTCGGAAGAAAGCATGAAGGCCTCGGGCGCGAGGCCCGCGGCCTGGGGGCCCCTGCATGCGGCCAGAGCGCTGCTGCTCCAGTCCACTTTTGCTGCTGCTGCTGCAGCAGACAAGGTGGAAAACAAGTTTTTGTAGGCCATGCACACCGACACATCTCCCACGGAGCAGCTCCCTCCTTCTTCTTTCGGACTGAACCAAAAAAAGTTCAAACTCGCCAACTCCTCCCCGTCGTTGCACACGTTCACCATCTCCGCGTCCAGCCGCTCCTTCTCTTCTAACAAACAGCAGCAGCAGCAGCAGGAGTGTTGCAGCAGCAGGAGTGGTGCCGCAGCAGCAGGAGTGGTGCCGCAGCAGCAGGAGTGGTGCC